ATTCACTTATTGAGCTTATCTCTGGACTCCTTCATTAATCTCCTCGTCATCGGGCCGCCGGGCCTCCGGGGCCGGGCCTTAAGCCGAGGCTAAAGGCTCTCGCTGTAAAATCAAGACAGCGGCGCGGCAGCCGAACAATGAGGGATCAGCCTCGGACACGATACGGCACGCAATCTGAGGCACGACCGGGAGGGCCGGGCCGGCCGGGCCGCCGGGCCGGGCCACGCCAAAGGACAAGGAGGCTGCCAAATTGATCGCAATACCAATAGGCACAACAAAAGACAGAGTGCCCGCGACCTTGACGCCCGCCGACCTCCCCCCTCCCCCCTTTCCCCGGACCCTCCGAACGCAACGCACATCTGTTGGTTGGAAAACAGTTTCGTTTATCACTAACATAAGCTGTCTTATTAATTGAACAAGGAGAAAATTACAAGCTTGCAGTTCACACACACAACAGCGATAGACGTTTTTCATAGCGACAAATGACTCTACTCTTATATCCCCCGATATACGATTATGATGTGGGCACATGGGGACATTACGCGAAAATTGAGACGTTTCCCCATTGCTCCGTTGCGTACAGCATAATGATAAAAACTAGCGATTTCTGCCGCGTGCGCTCGGCCAATTACCGCCGTTGGAACAGAATATTTAGAACGGGAAATAAGTTAACGGGGCGCACTGTGGTGCCGGGCCGTGAGCTTTACGACGTTTGGCGAACGTTTCACATTTTGCGTGCGAATATGCCTTTTTTTCTAATCCACAATTTGTATAATGCATAAAATTTTCATTAATCAAGAGTCTCTTATCAGTTTTTTAAAAGAATGCCATGTGTTTCTATGACTTAGGTCCTACGCTGACGCGGTGGTGTGCGATACATGCACAGTCGCACACCCCGGCACACCCGGATACGCACACCGAGCGAGGGAGAGAGAGAGTCTGAGAGACCGCGACTCAAACGCAAGCTCAAACGTCCCGAACCAGCAAACCGATCCTCGCACCTCTTCCTCTCTACCCCTCTTGCATACCCAAGAGCGACAGAGAAAGAGAGTGAGATGATTCTGACGCTGCTCGGCCACAGGCAGAGCCAGGCTAGACTACATGGCTGGAGGCCTATGGGCAGTCCACGACGGGCAGTCCGCGGGCAGGCCACAGGCCAAGGACACGCATCAACCACCGCCCCGCTCCAGCCCGTTCAGGCTCGCTCCAGCCCGTACTAAGGATTCGTATGTATACATAGCTAAGTTTGTGTGCATGCATGAGATTACGTATAATATTGATCCATTGCAACGAAATAAAGTCGTTCACATACTTTCGGAAAAGCTACACGTTAAAATTGTCTATCTACGTAAGAAATTCGACGTGAATTACACAGAGGTATTTAAAAGAATACATACACGAAGCTCAGTGAGCGTTCCCCAATAACTGACCCCCTTTAATCCTCTTCAAAACAGAAAATTTTAAAAATATTTTCTAAAGGGAAAAAACGCTTGGTTCGGTATAGGTTTGATCGTAAACTATATTATCAGCTCACGCTCTACTCAACGGCCGGATCAGCCAGTCGGCTGGCCCTCCGCTAATGAGCCAAAAACCCCATCGGCGGTGGGGCATCATCACACCAGGCCAGCCCGCCGGCCCGGGAAGGGACCCCGCCCCGCCTCGCCGCTAGAGGCGCTTGAGGCGCGGCGTTGATCGCTTAAGCGTGCAGTTTTCACTCAGCCCGTCCGGCCCGGATGATTGAATACGGTTAACAACAGGCCGCTCTGCACCCATCCCTTTTCTAAGATAAACAAGAGACGAGCAGTGCAGGAATCTTAATCGCGCAGCAGCCAGCGGACCAAACGGGAGAGACACTTCAGCACCCGTGCCGTACCACAAGCACCCGCCCCGAGCAAACAAAGAGCAGGCTATACAACTGTGCGACCGAGCGCGGGATGCATAGGTCACTGGGTTCGTTACAAGTGCGGTCGTGCGTTTAGGCCCTCCACGCGGTGAAGATATGCTTATCTACACGAAGAATAAAGCTTCATATATTATGCGAAAAATACTGGAAGTTTACACTGATGAAAAAAATGATCTTATAATACAACAATTAATGAAAATTTACAAGAAAATATCGGAACAAATAATTTGGTAGCAAACTTGTGAAAGTGCAGGAAGTCCGTGCTGCTGCAGCTCACGTAGGTCGAACGTATCAAAACGACTAGGTGACACGAGAGGACCTGTGGCAGACGGGCAGAGGCTCTAGTGAGCTCCTACGCCCAAGCGCTGCGTGCCTGTCTCCCAGGGGGTTGCCTTTCGCAACGACACAAAGAGTGTCGCAGCCGAGCCAAATGTCAGCCCGGCAGAGGGGCGGGGACCCTCAAGGGGACCCTCCCGTATTCAAATGCAAGCGCCCCCAACTGCTGCAGCGGGAGCGCGAGAGCGAAGCGCCCGTCGCGGGGTAACCCGCACTGCTCCCAGAAAATGATAGTCATGGAACAAGGTGAAATGCGTTGCTTCAACGCTATTTTACCTCAAAAAAATACAAGGAAAATAGTCTTTAACTCGAGAATTTCCTTAGATCAACTTAATTTCCTTGAAATTGATGGAAAAACCTTAAACCAAGGTCGAAAATTACCTAGTATTTTTTAAAGGAAATTCCTTGGTTTAAGGATACCATTTCCTGGGTGTGGAAACTATTATGTGTGAATGTTGCATAGCTAGTAGGTGTGTGAACTCTAATCCTCACACTTGCACGCGTATAAGGGCAAACAATTTCCTCGGAATTTGGCATGGTTGCACAAGCGTACAAATATAGAAATTCACTCGCGCCTCCAAGTGTGCGACATTCACGCACTAGGGGGGTTTCCTGTGCATACCAGGCTAATGTTGCAGCCAGGCGCAGAGGCACCGCTGCCCGGACAGGACGCGGCGACCGAGTATGAGCAGGAGAGTAGAGTCGGCGCTCAAATGATGACGACTACTGCGCCTTTTGCTGCCTGCTCGTTGCAGACCGACCGGTCAACGCTGCAAGTAAGAGAGCTGCCCATTGAAAAGTAACGCCCTTCCACCACCACCCGCTCCCACAGACACACAGACACAAACACACACACACACAGTGCGGCAGTGCATTTGTGCGCGTGGTAAAAATGCTTTACGCACAAGGCTCCGCGCGTGTTTCTTCACCCTATCGTCGCGGCGCCGGCCAGTGGTGCCTTGCAGCAGCAGCAGCACCGGCCAAAGCCTTTTTCTCGTAAAGAACCTCGCGGCGAGAAATTTATCACGTCGCCATGCCAGGCAGCAGCAGCAGCAGCAACAGCGGGAGGCGAGGCGTGTGCGGCGGCGTCGGCGGGGTGACGCGCACGGTGGCCCGGCGCATGTGTCGCGCCTGACCTTTTCGGCACGGACTGTACGTGAGAGCCGCGTGCCGCAATCGCGGCAGGGGCGGCAGCAGCCGCAACCATTCAGGCGGCACCAGATTCGACCCCCCACCGGCGCCGCTCTGACTCCGGGGTGCTACGTTTCCTGCTGCAGCTCTCTTTTACGCGCGCGGCGCTTCCGAGCGCCTGACGGGTAGGCAACGCGGTGGCACCGGCGCGCAGCGGAACTGCCCACCCGCCAGGCGCTACGCTGAGACAGAATATGAATACATCTCTCACACAGTCTCTCTCTCTCTCTCTCTCTCTCTCTCTCTCTCTCTCTCTCTCTCTCTCTCTCTCTCTCTCTCTCTCCACAAGGCTGCCGGCCGCTGTCGCGAAGGTGCTCGCCTCCTACACTGCCCTCGGGCGGTCGCGGACAACGGCGGCAGGCAGGGCGGGGAGTGGCTGTGGCCGCCGCGTCGGTCAACTCTCTAGTCGCGACTTGGGCGTGGCGGGGCGCGGCGAGGTCGGTAGGTCGGCGGGTCAGCCTCGAGCGCCGCCCCATCCCCATCCTTCACTACCCCCCTCCTCCCCCACCCTACACCCTTGACGGCGGCAGCCTCAATAAATTTCAGACGTGCCACCGGACAAGACAACGCACGCGTCTGTGAGCTGCGCGCGCCGCCCGCGCTTGCAAAACGGCACGGTAGCCACTCCCACCGCGCAAGTATGCGGCCCGCGAACTTACAGTTTATACTCATAAAGTAAAAATAAAAACGCAGTACCGTTCATCCATCTAAACACAATGACGGGAATTTTGTAGGAATTAGTAAATAACGGTGACGGTGAGCGTTTTTCATTCTCAAGGAAGCGAGCAGAGCGTGGTAAAATTTAATTTGAATTCCAACGTTTGCAACGACACCGAAGCGTGTCAATGGAAAGTGACACCTTGGCTTTACGCAAGATGTCCGCGTCCCCTCCAATGCTCTAGCCCCCCGCCCCGCTTCTCTTATTCCCCCTTTTCCCTCTCTTCGACCTTTTCTTGGCAAAGTTCCTCCGCCGCGGCGTACTGAATGAAATGTTCCACGACCGCGAGGTGCACCGGCAGGGGTCCCGACGAGGCGGGGGTCCCCCGGGTCCCCTGAGGGGGTCCCTAAGGGTCGCCAGGGGCCCCAGATCAGAGATGAAGGCTATCTGCTCCACATGGCCTGACCCCGACCAGGCGGGGCATTCGATACGCCAAAGGACACTTTCGGTTGGGAAATAGCACAGCAAGCGGCACTTGGCAAGACACTTAAGACACTACTGAAAGCAATTATCACGTTGACTCGCATTTTAATTACTTGATTTTAATGTCATAGGAGCAAGACCTTTTAAGAAGACACGATGAAAAAAATAAAAGATTTTGTTGATTCGAGAAAATTTCATAGAAAAAATCATACATGGTGTGCAACTATTTCAGACACGACTCTACAATAGAATAGAGTTTAGCTAGCACGGAGCAAAACTGAGAACATGCTTCAATCCTTACATAACAAGAAATAACTACAAGTGAAAGACCAAATGACTAAAACAGAGTTTGCAGTGTAATTAACCTGATTTTTCCTCTGCCAGGCAAAAGATGCAGGAACCAGGTAACTGAGTTTTCTATTCACATACCTTGGTGGTGGTCTACATTTCCGCGCAGGAGGACGAGTGTGGGCGGCAAAGAGTAGATTCCTATTAAAAAAGGGAAAGAAAAAATGTCTCAAAACAAAACAAAAAACACAAAAAACTAGAGACGGGCACCAAACACTCACAGTCAACAACGTTTTAAAAGAAAAACACAAAAAAAAACTCTTTTTAAAGACACAAAAAACAGAAAAAAACACTAAAAGGAGGGGCAACACACACCGACTCACACACACACTAAATCACATTCACACACACACACGCACACCACGGGCTGCTTCCTAGGCCCCTCCCCTCGCCACCGCCGCGCGCGCTCCTTTACCGACAAATCGCCTTCCGGCGCCGCGCCACGCCACGCCACGCCGCGGCATTCCCGCGTCGCGCGTTCAAAACTACATCAGCGCGGCCCGTAATGGCTCACTTTAGCGTTAGCGCGCGCGCCACGTCCGAGAATGCGCGCGCAAAAACAGATGTGGGCAAAACGCACTCTCTTCTCTCACCGCCCTCCCGCTCTCCTTTTCTCTCTTCTTTTCTCTCGTTTTCTTCTCTCTCTCTCCCTCTCTCTCTCTCTCTCTCTCTCTCTCTCTCTCTCTCTCTCTCGCGCGCGCGCGCGCGCGCGAGCGCGCTCACTCACTCGCTCTCTTTCTCTCTCTCTCTCTCGCATCCTCTTTTCCTCGCGCTTTGCCCCTTCAATGTCAAAGTTGGCGCTCCAGCGCGAACTGCTGACTGGAGTTCGACTCGGATGCGCTCTGCTCCGCACCGCTGCTGCCGCTCGAGGATCGCGTTCGGATAACCCCGCGCGCCTACCCGATCGTTTCCGAACGCATCGTCGGCGCGAGGCGTATGACGGCTTGGATTTATTCAACCACCTGTCCAAAGTGACGGAGGATTTTTCATACCGACATGCTGCAGCTTCTACCCCTACGGCACACGTCGAAATGTTCTTAGGAATCATAACGCCCGCCGGATTGACCACCTCCGCCGAGCGTTTAGTCAAGCGGGCGACAGGTAAAAAGAGTAGGGGGATTTAAAGGAGAAAAAAAAGGCAACGGTTGTCATTCCAAAGTGATATAGACGCCTGCCTACCCAGACTGCCGACCCGACGTCTCTAGCCTTTGCACAGCAGGATGTCGAGCTAAGGTCACATTAGGGACGTCAAATGTAACTTATCCCCGGAGCTACGAGAAAAAACTAAAGATAAGTAATAGTGTACTTCTATTGCTGGCAGGTGAAATTATCATTCAATCGAATTCCGTCTCGTTCGCTTCTCCAAGAGAGACACTCATCAATGAGCTTCGAATTTCTTTTTAAAAACCGATCATCAATATTCTGCATCTCCGAACCAGCCTAACCAGAAACAACGAAGACTGACTCTCCCGCCGCACCCCACCTATTTGATAGATACACGTAGAAGGAGTATTGTCTCTCCTCTTCGCGCTTGCTCGCCGCTCGCCCAATCTTCGACAGAGGAAAAAGAGAGAGAGGGGTGGTGAGGGGGAGTGGAGGAGAG